AATCCAGTTATGTGTATGTTAGACTGTTTCATATCGTCCAGCAGGCAAGGAGTCTTTACTTCTTTCCCGTCCTCCTCCTCCTCCTCCTCCTCCTCCTCCTCCTCCTTCTTCTTCTTCCAGCCTTTTTTGTGTTTGGCTTCATTTCGGAAGTTTCTGTTGCCCGTTACGGTAGATGTGCTGTGTACCTGTTTATTTCTTGTTTTACCAGTGCTGTTTCTGACACACTGAGTTGTTCAGGTCTGATTGCTGTTCTCCAGTCTAGTTATCACATTCATATTTTCCTTTAAATCTTCGGGCGTATTTATAACTCTTCTCCAGTCCTCATGTGCTAGCTCTCTCATCTCAGTTCTGGGTCTCTTTCTGCCGACCTTTCTTCTGATGGGGCACATCTTCCCCCTAGCAATGTACGGTTAGGTGCCGGTCGGGTGGTGCTCCTGGCCGTCAGCAGCACCTGGCTAGATTTGTGACTGCTGACTGTTGGATTTTGTTCTCTTCTCTCAGTGAATGATGAGTTTTGTCCTTGCAGGTGGTTCAGTCACTTGCAGATCATTGGGATCCTTTTGAGGCTTTCCCTTGGGATGGCTTAGCTCTAGGGTGTGGTCTTTCTGGGGTCTCCACTGAATGCCCTGGGTGTTCAGTGACACCTTCCACTCGGTCTAGTTGGAACTTGCTGGTCTCTGCACCAGCGCAACCTGGCCCTGGTGGGTGCTGACCCCGCCCCCGTGGTCTGGCCCCGCCCCCTGTGCAGCAGAGTGCTGAAAGGCTCCGGCAGGACTCCTGACTCCTGCGTGGATGGACGTCCAGGGTGCGCGCTCTCCATATTCTGCCCTGGCAAATTCTAGCGGTCCTCAGCCAGCGTCCCTGAACTCTGACCTCTGTCTCCTCAGCTCGGTAAGGCCACCTGCTCCGTTGGGCTCCTTTCTCTGCATCAGGTGCAGGCACCGCCTCCAGCATTGAAGGGCCCACCCCACCCATGCTCCTCCTGTTGTCCGATGGTAGTTGCTTCACGGATCCTGTCCGGTTTTGTCCGTGTTGGCAGAGGGAGGACTCGAGTGCGGCAGGGGTTCCCTCCTGCTCACAAGTGCGGGTTTTATGCCTGTCTCCTTAGGGTTAGCCTTCTCTTGACTAGTATGTTAACTTTTCTCTAGGCGTTCACGGTCGCTGGGGAGTAGGTCAGATGAAGCTCAAGGTCGCTGACCGTGGACCCACCTTCCTACCGTCGCAGGGGTTCTCCCTGGGCCAGGCCTGCTGCTGTAGTGGAGTTGGGGGTGGGGTGTGGATGGTGAGCTCCTCCTCAGTCGTTGTCTCCTTCCTGGGGAGTGACTTTTTAAAAAACTTTTTTATGCACGAGCGGGGGAGGGGCAGAGAGAGGGGGAGACACAGAGTCCGAAGCAGCTCCAAGCTCAGAGCTGTCAGCACAGAGCCCGACGCGGGGCTCGAATTCACAAACCGCGAGATCATGACCTGAGCCGAAGTCGGACACTCCGAAGTCGGACCACCCAGGCTCCTGAGTGACTTCGTTTTTAATTTTGTATTTATATTTTTTTATTTTTTTAAAATTCTTTTAATGTTTTTTATTTTATTTTATTTTTGAGACAGAGAGAGACAGAGCATGAGCAGGGGAGGGGCATTGAGAGGGGGAGACACAGAATCTGGAGTGGGCTCCAGGCTCTGAGCTGTCAGCACAGAGACCGACATGGAGCTCGAACTCAGACCGTGAGATCATGACCTGAGCTGAAGTCGGACGCTCAATGGACTGAGCCACCCAGGCACCTTGTGACTTTGTTTTTAAAGAAAGCTTCCCAAAACTGATTACGTAAATAGTAAGTATTCATTGTCAAAAAAATGACAAGAATTAAAAAGGGAAGTAAGTCCATTGTCCATTCTTCCAGAACTATTTCATATATTTGTATCTCTAAACACGTCCTTCTTCTTCTTGTACGTTGGTATTTCTTATTAGCTGGAATATACACAAATTCGTGCGAGTGTGTGTGTGTGCGCGCGCGTGTGTGTGTGTGTATGATGGCCTTCTGTAACATGATATCTCAGGACCCCATTGTATTGCGTAGCTTGACTGTACCACCTGACCTCACTAAACTCCAAAAATCATCACATCTGCTTTCATGCCGTGAAATGATCAGTTTGTTTCCCGTAGACGGACTGGTGTTTTAGAGTGACGGGAAACTGACCTGTCCCGAGAGGGGAGGATCTGTTCAGAGACAGTGCATTCAAAACTGGTTACTAATGGGACTGGAGAGGGCCGTGCCACCCTAATATGCCACCGGGACCCTCCAGCTAGTCTAGGCAGGAGTGGCATCGATGACAGAGCCACGTCCTGCCGTGTCCTAAGTGCCGGGCAGGGCCGAGAGCCCGCACTGCAGTGGAAGCCCTGGGGTGCTCAGAGGACAGTGCTTCCTGAGAACTGTACGACCCACCCAGTGTGCACTCTTTCATGGAGGTTTGTGAGGGCCGGAAGCGCCTACCCTGGGTGCCCCCACCCCACCCACCTCCTGCCGCTGTGGTGACCGCTTCTGAGCTCTCTGGCCAGAGACCCCTGTCGTGTTCCCATCTCCCGCCCCCTGGTGTGAAGGACACGCCTGTGTTGTCTGCTTCGTTGCCTGGCACCCGTGGCTGGTGATCTCAGGGTGGGCCAGCGCGACATCTGGTCAGTGCTGGCTGTTGCCCGAGTGAGCACCGCAGCCCGGGTTTGCGGGATGCTTGCAGAGGTTTTCGCTGTGGGGTCTGTCCCCTCAGACACGCGGTTTACGGGTCGCCGTAGCACCGGCCAGATGGCGACTGTCCACGAAACGGTACCGTCGGCTGGGGGGTGTGTGTCACGGAGCGGGATGTCACGGGAGGCGGACTTGCAGCCACCGGGCGGCCTGTGAGGTGTGTGGCTGTGGTGGGGGTGGGTTCAGGCGATCGTGAACCACACAGGCGGTTCCCGTGTGTCCTCTGAGCCCTCGGTCTTCAGCCGGGTCCCGGGCCAGGCATTCTGCAATGGGGTCCAGGCTCAGAGCCTGCGTGTCCTCAGGGTGACGAGGTGGGCAGGCTCTGGAATTCTGGGCGGTGGTTCCACTTTGATTTGTGTCGCACTTCAGTCCGCACTGACGCTCCTGTTTGGAGAAGAGTTCTTCTGCTTCCCCAAAATATCCAGCCCGAAGCTCCAGAGCCCTGGACTAGATAGTCTAGAAATTGCCTTTAGAATTCTCCAAATCCATGTTTCTTGTATTTGCATCTGTAAAGGTCTTTTTTTTTTTTTTTTTTTTTT